AGTACCTTGTATGCTATTGGTTGAATTTTACTTGCTTATTGAGCTAACATTTAATAAAGCTTTTAGAAATTTGAAGTGATTTATGTTCTGGTGTGTCTTTCTCCTGTATTTAACGAGGTTTTTCCCCTGACAGTTTTGATGCATTGGCCAGGAAGGGACATGCTGAAAGAGGCCTGGAAGGCAGGCTATCAGCTGCTCCTTTCCTGTGTTCACCCACACTGTCGCTTAAAGTTCTAAGGCTTGAAGCTCTAAGGTAAGAGGGAACTCCCTTCCTGGGAAATCCCTTTGGAAAATTTTGTGTTTTTATGGAATTTTAAACAGGTAGTTTAGTTTATAAGGAGTGGAATTGCTGTGCCCCGAAGGCAAAACAGTCTGGTGCTTCCGTGACTGGGACCCTGAGGTGTGCCAGTGCATCAAGGGTCTGATCAGCCCCGGAGGAAGAGTTGAGGTCCAGGGTCACGCCCTGAGGTGTATTTTGTAAGAAAAAGAAAAAAAAGAGAGAGAGGGGAAAAAAGGGGAAGTAAGAAGTGACAGTTTGGAATTGAATATCATTGCCTTTGAGTTTTGGAATTGTTTTATGCAAACATGCTTGCTTGCTGATTGTCTCGTCTTTGCTTACGTGTCTGTTTCCTTTCCAGCTGTTTTGCTTTTTGTTTTTCTTTGTGTGGTCGCCGGTTTGGCCTGTTTGTTTTTTATCCAATGATTTTACATATACATTTAATAGTTTACAACACTGCCTCTACTGGGTCAGTTTGTTGACTACTAAGGGTCCCCCCACCTTTCTCGTAGATAAGGGTCGGCAGGCTTGCCGAGGTGTGGTGTCCCTTGCCATTGCTGGCTTGCACAGTGGGACCGGCCCTTTTCCGTAGATAAGGATTGTCTTGTTGACAAGGGCTAGTTTCCACTGTACCCAGGGTTGCACCCGGGAACAAGGAAAAAAAGAAAGAAAGGTGTGTGTGTGTGTTAGTTCCCTTATATATCCCCTCTGTGGACCAGGGCTGAGCGAGAAATCAATTGCAGCTGCACCCAGCCGCCTGCAAGGCCAGTGGTTGATGACCAGGGGTGTCTGGAATGCAAGGGCAGTTGATGGAACTCTTATCCCTCCACAGATTCGGTGAAAGAGAGTGTGTTTGAAAATTTATGAATGTGGAGCCTGTCCCTCTTTTGGATATGTTGGTTTTGTGATTGCCAGTGTTGGTGTGATTGCTGTTGTTGTAGTCACTGTGTGGATTGCTGGTGAGTGAGAGGGCTTCAAGAGAATCAAAGCTAATATTGACTAAATAATATGTGAAGACTTATTTTTTCAAACCCCTTCTCACTTAAAGATGAAGAATAGATTCAGAAACTTCTGTGATTGTCTGCCTCATCCTGCACTGAATCTTCTCCAATGTAAATACTGTAGAGGATTGAGGTATTATGTCCCTTAAATACAGATCATTTGCTAAATGTCCCAGCAGATTACAAATAATTATGAATTAACCAAATTTAAATCAATAGCTCTATTTTTCTCAAGAAAGTATATCAAATTAAATCTGAATGTTTGCATTAAAAAGTCATAGTCTTTAAAGTTTTTAGTGCAATATATCAATAAAATATCCTAACTGGACTGATTTAAATATCAGGTTTAAAAGTTATTATATTTTGGATTTTAATAAAAAAAATAGGTCTAGTAATTTTTAATCTAAGGTTTCAGTAATCAGGTTTTCTGCAATTATTGCTGCAGAAAAATATTTCACTTTCTTTATTTCATTGTTCCCTTTCTTCTTAGGTTTGGGAAAGGCAGGAAGGTTATACTCTGATTTAATGATTTAATGAATCCAGTGAGTCATAAAAGTTTGACTCAACAAGAAGAGGTAATCATAATCTACTACACACAACTGAAGTATTTTAATGAACTTAAATTTTGTGGAAATGATTAATTTATATAATTGTGACTTAATGAAGTTTGGTATCTTTATTAGATCTAGTGACTCAAGTCACCCAACAAAATTTTTTATTCACAAGTGAAACACCCCTTTGGATCCACAGCATACATCCAAAATGTATATTTTGGAGAGGAGTGTATCCAACTGTCTAACTGTACATGGTCCTCTCAGACTTCTGGGCACATCATTTGTGTTGGAATAATGATAGGGTAGGGTAGGGTAGGGTAGGGTAGGGTAGGGTAGGGTAAGGTACAGTAGAATACAGTAGAATACAATAGCACTCTCTTAACACTAAGCCTAAAAACCAAAAGTTAAGATTAAATAAGAAAAAAAAAAGAACCATAAATTCTAAGTAAAATTTTAAACTAGATATTGAGTCTATAGTGCAATATATTAACAATATAGAAATAAATTGTACTGTAAAATCTAATAATCCAATAAAACAGAATTTATGTAGCTCATGGTTAAACTGTGGAGTCTTTGGTGCTCTCTAAGCTTGATTGTTTGTTTGTTTGCAGACATTTCTTTACCCAATTAAATAACATCATCAGTGGGAGTAAGTGTGGGGTTTGCTCCCGGTTTATATACAATAGCTTTTAATAATCTAAAATATTAATAGCTTATAACTGATCATTCATTTGTACATGACCAAAGATTTATGGACCAAATATAGAAATGCTAATCACTTAGACCAGACGTCAGTTGTCCGTGCACATTCGTAGCTTCTATGCAAAACTTTATGTGTAATAAGGCTTTTCTTATTTGATGGAAGAAAATTTTTAAAAATTCCTCAGAGACACCTGGGACATATAAAAACAAAGAAACATGAGTCTTCTTCAAATATCATTATACAGCAGTGTAACAGAACAGGAAGAATGGATTCCATTGAACCATCACCACAAGGGCAGGTTTGACTACAGTAGTTCCCATATAAAAGTGCTGATGGCAAGCTATTGTATCTGACTCTGAAGGAAAACCTTTGTTGAAATGAGGGGGTATCTGTGAGATGATGTAATTAGCAGTTTTCCACTAGGGTAATTAAACCATACTTGGATAGATTTTGGCATGAGGCCTCTCTCATTCAGGTACTTAATATCGTCCTTTGATAATTCTCTTAGCTTGACTAGATTTGAGAAAATGAAGGAAATCAAGAGAGACAGTCAAATGTTCTATACAGGCCTAATTTTCAGATCATAACTGAAAAACTGAATTTCTGCAAAATTATTTATCCTTACAGATAATGCAAGACAAAATATTATGACTATGCATGTTGACAATTACCACTGCACAATAGGCTTCTATATGGGTAAATAGCTATAACAGCTACATGTACATGCAGTACATGTAATAAAACAGAATTTGTTGATTTTACAATCCATCACATATTTCATCATTAAAAATGAAACAAAAGAACAAATCCTGCATTATAAATAATTTAAATAAAAATGAAGAACACCTTTTGAATATATGCAATAGCTGTACTCTGATATGAATCCAGGCCCAAATGGCACAGAATAGGAATGTTTTAACTGAGTTGAGGTACAACTGCGGTTTCTAAATGGCCCTGTCCCTGATTCCAAACCTTTTATAGTCTCTCCCTTCTGATATGCAGTTTGGGAGTCTAGTATGCGGGCAGTGCCATATGCCAAAATGAAAAAAAGATGTTTAGGCACTTACCTAAGAAAACAACTTCATAAAGAAGGGAAAGGAGGAGTCTTGTATTCAGAGATCAAAACACATTCCTCAAATCAAAGTGACCTAACAGTTGCCCCAATTGCAGCCTTTGAAATGAATGACAAAGCTAGGGATGGTGAAGTGAAGAGAAGGACAGTGGTATATATTTGCTGGCACCTTGTTTTGAGCTACTTATGTATGTGAGAGCATTTCTTTTAGAATCCACACTCCTATTCTTGAATGATTCTTCTCTTAGTTTGCTTTTCCAACT